TAACATTTTTAACTAATTATACAATAGACATCAATAATTGGTAACAGCGTCATACTGCGATATTGTTATTACTTTGTTCCGGTAGACGTGTACATGACCTTACGTTGCTCACAGTAGATGCGGAGCATTGTATTATATCGGATGAAAGTATAATATTTTGGCCACAATTTGGCTCTAAAACAAATGGCAGCAATTATCGACAATCGGGTTGGAAACTCTTGCCAAATATTAATCATCGTAATTTAAATCCCCTATTTTGGATTCAAAAAATGATAACATCATTGACTGAAAGACGAATTGCAGCAAAATAATTAAATCTATTTTTAACCATAAAAGGTGTGGCTAAGCCTGCCAGTCGCACAGTGATAGCAGGTTGGGTACAAACCTTGTTCAAAGAAGCAGGCATTGCAGCAACCCCTGGAAGTTGTCGGTCTGCTGTGGATTCCAAAAGCTGGATTGAAAACCATCCCTGTGACGAAATACTAGCCCGAGGAAATTGGCGATCTGCCAATACATTCAAGCGGTACTACAGACGAGTACCTAATAATCAATCTAAAAATTTAACACAATTATTTGTTCCGATAAGATAATTATTTGATTAGAAAAACTAATTCATAAACACATTTTGATTAAGTGAAATTTGTAATTTGTAGCATTTTTGTAATAGTTACGCTATCGCATTAGGATATACCTGTAATGATAGTAGTAAGTGTGGATACTAAATAAATAAATAAATGATATTTCAATTATTTTCGTCTCGGAAAATAAATATATATATATAATTCATTCATACATTTTATTATTATTAACGTCACATTGGCGTTTATATAATAATAAGAAATAATTTACAAATAGCGACACCAGGCGATAACAAACAGCGTCTCAGATTAAAGCTTCAAATCACTATCATTTTGGGGCAATTTGAACACGTCCATTTTGGCGCGCTTTTTTTGTGATGTCAGATTACACTTTCAGACGAATTCGATGGCAACAACGGAGTGAAGTTCACAAAGTTTGTGAAAGTTAAAAAGTGAGTAATAAAAATTAACTTATTACCATGGAAAAGCCAATAAAAACTTATTATAAATATTGTGCCGTTCCTTTGTGCCCAAATAATATCAAAACTGCACCTGACAAAGTATATTCAGTCATTGTGTAGAGTCTTTCTACGCGGGAATTTAATAATTTAACACTGAAAACGTATTAGTTATTAACTTAAAATGAAACAAATAATCACCAGAAACCAAATATTACAAATACACACAACTTGTTGACACTCTTGACAGTGTAGGTTGACGTCACATTTTATTCAACCAATAGCGTTGCGTTTTAGAAATTTGCGAGGGAATCTTAAAAAAGCCAATTTTTGATGATTAAATTTCACTATTAAATTATAGTAAATTTCAAAAATAATTGTATGGGTTCCTTTTTTTAGCAATAAAAATTACAAATAAAAATATTTTGTCCATTTTGGTGTCACGAGCATATTCCCTATTACCTCGCGTCATACACTAATTTTTGATACCATTGTTTTTTCTTCTACGTCCATAGGATAAAAATAGTGCCGCTGAGACAACGTTGTTCGAGCGGCACTTTTTCGAAACAGTTTTTCGTGAATAACTCCGCAATGTTTGGATGCACAAATTTTTACTTACCATTCACAATTACACGACGTCATACACTAAATATATGTTAATCTCAAACAATAAAATTCAAACTTTTTTTTACTGTTTTGGTAGACGCTGGGGCAACGCACACGTCATGAAAATACCACCAGTAACAGTATACCAAATTTCATATCAAAATCAAAATCGAAATCATTTATTATTTGCATAAAACAGGTATAAAGGTGGTAGAAGAACATCATATAATACATAGGTACGCTGTAATATAACCTCATTAAAGGTGTGCAAATATTTAGTCATAGATATATAAAAGATTATTATTTAGACGTTCAACATTACAAATACAATTTGAAGAATATATTCATGTCATAAATTTATTCAGAGAATTAATAATGTCAAGAGTATTATGAATGCTATTAAGTCAGATCAATATAATAAAACCAAAAAATAATAATAAAAAAAAACAACAATAATAATCAAATAGTCAAAATAATAAAAATAAAAAAAAATAAAAAATGTCACATTGTCATGTTCAACATAAATTAAATAACAATGAACGAAATTAACTTGATTTACAATTTGTCTTGCAGAAAATCATTTACATTATAATAGCATTTTTGGCTCAGAATTTTTTTTAATGTCTGTTTAAAGATAGTCGGATTTGACTCCTTTATATTCCTAGGCAATTTATTATATATTTTTGGAGCCATGGCGAAAACACTGTTATGCATTAGAGCAGTGTTTGATTTACACAGGCATAGCCGGGATTTATCTCTTTGCATTCGGCCATACGCGTCAGAAGACAAAACAAATAAATTAGGATTTAGTTTGGCAAACATAGCTACCTCGAGTATATAAATGGATGGTAGTGTCAAAATATTATATTTTTTATAATAGGGCAGACAGCTGTCGGTTGATTTTAGAGAGAACATTGCCCTCACACAACGTTTCTGTACCTTGAATACTTTATCTTTATGTACAGAGTTACCCCAGAAAATTATACCAAACCTAAGAACTGACGCCACCATACCATGGTATGCAGTCAGAAGTGCATGAGTATTAATTACTTGTGATAATTCATGAAGTGCATACACTGATTTACTGACCCTCTTGCATATTTGTTCTACCTGTTGTTTCCATGTTAACTTATTGTCTATTATTACACCTAGAAATTTTGTGGAATCTACTTAATTTAAAGATTGGCCGTTAGCGCATATCTGTAGGTTTTTAATACTAGGAATACGCTGACTAAAATGCATGAGCATTGTTTTTCCTATGTTAGCTCTTAAATTGTTTACATCTAGCCAGTCGAGAACAGAGTTTAAAGCGTTATTTATATCATCATTATATGTATCCTTATTATTACATTTAATAGTAATTGTACTATCATCTGCAAATAGGGCTATTGGGTTATGGGTTACATTAGGTAGGTCATTAATGTATATTAGGAACAATAATGGTCCTAATACACTACCCTGAGGTACGCCATATTGTATTTTACGTGTTTCAGATTGATAGTATTCTTCTATTTTGGTAACACTATTAATTTTAGAAATTTGAGTATATTGAGTGCGATTTCTAATGTAAGACTCAATCAGGTCTAAGATATTGCCCCTTATGCCATATGAATTTAGCTTACTTAGTAGAGTATCATGACTTACATGATCAAATGCTTGGGTCATATCCATATATATGGAGCAAACAGGTATCTTATTGTCAACATTCTTCATTACAAATACAAGAAAATCATATATAGCCATGTTTATTGATTTATTACCTCTGAAACCCTTCTGTTCTTTCGCCAGAATACAATTCCCTTCAAGGTAATCATTTAGTTCCCCATATATATATTTCTCAAATACCTTAGAGAAAATAGGTACCAGGGCTATAGATCTATAGTTTTCTATATTGTCTCTATTTCCTTTTTTAAATACAGGTTTTATGATCACTGCTTTCAGTTTGTCAGGGAAAGCTCCAGCTGCTATACATACATTTATAATATGACAAATATGATGACAAATATTACCTGCCACAGATTTTATGACTCTAGTACATATTCCATCATACCCTACACTGTTAGTGTTCTTTAGGTTTCTTATAATATGCAATATATTAAAGGGTGAGCAAGCTTTCAAGAACATCGATTTCTGCCTAGAGGACACATACTTGGAATAAAGCAATTTATTTTTAGGATTATTCGGGACTATTCTATCTACAAAATAATTATTAAAAGCACTACATATTGCATTAGGATCAGTTAGGGTTTGATTATTAAATTTTATACGGGCTATTGATTCATTTGGAACGTTTTGTTTTGTGTTATGTATAATTTTCCAAGCAGTTTTGGCTTTGTTATCTGCTGTATTAATAGAGTAAGTGTTTTGTGCTCTTTGGGTTAATTTGATAATTTTTTTATAAATTTTTGAGTATTGTTTAAATCTATTTTTGTTAGCATCACTGGGATTTTTACTATATTTCCATAAAAGGGTCCTTTTTTTTTACTACATATCTTTATTCCACGCGAAACCCATTTTTGTTTTTTATGTGCATTTATAGTTATAAGTCTTGATGGGAAACAAAGATCGTAAAATAGTTTAAATAAATCATAGAAGGTATTGTAAGCTAAATTAGGGTCTTCAGTAGTGTACACCTCAGAAAAAGTCAATTTGCTTATACACTCCTTAAATTTCATCTGGTTTTCCAAACAATCAATCAATCAATATCAATCAAAACTGTGCATTTTAGTGAGGATTCCTTTATCACCTAGGAAGTGAGGTGATGATTTTCAAAATTTATAGTTAAGAACCATCTCGATCACATCAGCTTTCGAACAAAGAAATCCTCATCGAAATTGGTCTATCCATTTGGGAGCTATGATGCCCAGACAGATACACAGGTTAAACTTTTAACACCCCTCGTTTTCCGTCAGGGGTTAAAAAGAATAAAATACTTAAAGTATATTTTATCATTCATTAAATCATCTTAATATACGAGTATATCTAAAATTTCTATTAACATTTTCATGAGTGGATAGGTGAAAAATTTAATTTATTTGCATTTGATATGTTAAATATTTTTTTAAACTTGGACATAATGCCACACTTTTTCAGTTCGGCATCTTTAAACTAATGATAATTATCTTAATAAAACAATCTATGATTTTTTAGAATTTAATCAAGCACTTAGTAAAAGACTAGAAAGACTTTAGAAATACAACATCAACATACTATAAGGTGCATACAACAAAATAACTGGACTTATTACTACCAAAATATGTGCATATAAATAAATATACCATTTTTTTCAATAAATTCCTAATTCAGATTTTTTAATCATGATGCAAATACCAAGAAACATTAAATATACTTCAAAAAATTAAATATCAATGTCATACTTTTCATCATCACTATTGGGTGTATAGGTTTCATCAGGAAGCTGAACTTCACCACAAAACATAAGCTCTACATAGTGGAAATAATCTAAAGCAATATTAGTGAGCATAGCAGCAGTGGTGATTCCTAATACTGTCCCTATGATCGGCCGTCTACCAACTGAACTCCTTAAAATAGCCCATAAGAATATGGAGCCTAAGGGCCATAAACAACCACCTAGAAATGCCCAGGAAAACCGCCGTGCTGGTGCCGCTGCCGCCATATGTGGTCTTGCCCAAAGCCATAGTCCTGCACCCCCTCCCGCACTCAAAAATAGAATATCTGTTACATCCCTCTGAGGAAATAATCTGAAATGAAGAACAAATAGTCATTTATTATAACATTAAAGCTCATTAAACTGTAAGAGTGAAGTAAAAGTAGCGGTTAATTGGATGCATGTTATGTTTTCTTACCTGACCATTAAATGTGGGTTCATTACACTCACTGATAAAGTTGTGTAACTAACCAGACCTTGCAATGGAACGTAATAATACAGCACATTGTCTTTAGTAAACGGTGGCAATCTCAAATTCAACACTGATTTATTTAGTTGATCAACAGTTTTCGGCACCGTATTCGGCAAATTAATAAATTGTCGCCTAATGTTTTGATAGATTTTTTCTAGGATATCCATTTTCGCGGTCTCCACTGAGATGTGAATACAATTTGCAGTCTATAATAGGGTTACTACGTTAAGGTTACGTTGCTACATATTATTTGGCAACTGTTAAGGTTAAATATACTCTAATTGAAAACATTAATATGAGTACCGTAACTGAACAGCAATAGAAGCGTAGAGTGCAAAATGCAAATACAGATTGCATAAAGAGAAATTGTCAGATTTGACAACGACAGAAGTTAGGCTTGGGAAGTTTCAATTCATTTTATCGAGTTTGCTCATAATTTTTCCAAATCAAAATTGAATACAGTAAGATGGAAAGATTGAAGTTAAATACCGTTATAACTGATTTAAATGAAATGTCTTTTAAGCTTTATAAATTGAACATAGTTAGTCCCAGTCGCGATCCCGACTCAAAAATTAACTTACTATTGTTGAAACTCGGTGACATAAAATGTTGACTGTAATGTGATTATATCGTATTGTAACCAGAAATTGAATCAGTAATATACTGGTCTAAGTCATACTTTACTATTTTTCTCCGAAAATTCTATGACAGTTGCGAGATCGAGAGTTAATCGGTACCGAATTGTGACCGAACTTTTTACCGACCGACCTAATTACGAGAATTGGCCTTCAGAACGCTAGAATGTTAATTGAGGCTCGTTGGTATAAAATATATAAAGCGCTAAATTGGACAACTAAGGTTTTCTTTTGTACGTACATATTCACAAGTGACATATAGTAGAGCATCTGGGGCCAGCATTTACCTAAGGGTGGGGCAAAATTAAAAGAACTTGAAAAATGATTGGAAGTTAATATGCTATTTACTTCTAACCTTTTTATTTATTTTATTTTATGGTTATCAGTTGTCTCTTTGAGAGTACTGAGGATCGTTGAACAATGGTGTGTAACACACAACTTGAAAGCGAACCCGTCGGAAACGGAGAAGACCATAATAGTAATACTAGACATTAAACTCCTGTGGAATAGGCACCTCAAAGAGAAACTAAACAAAGCTTTCCTTGTTTTCTGCCAATGCAAATGGCTACTTGGCAAAAGCTGGGGACTATCACTAAAAATTACCTTTACTATGGCTCCACAGAACAATCATACGACCAATAATCACGTACGGTGCAATTGCCTGGTGGCAGTGAACAAAGCTAAGCACCGTCATAAACACTGTATCGCACAACGCCAACAGCCGCACTTGAGGTGGCTCTCGGTCTGACTTCACTAGACCTGTTCATACAGAAAGAGGCAGCCATATCGACCATCAGACTTAGACATCTGGGTCTGTGGCACAATTGCGAGGGTTCGGACTCAAAATTGTGGGATTAATTACTGGTATACCAACCACTAACAGCAGTCCCATGTGATAGGATGCCAAAACACCATATCTTAACACAGGGACAGCTACCACATTCAGAGACATGAAATTTACCGAAATTAATCCGCCATAAAGGAAGTCCGAATCTACACATATGGTTCCAAGACTGGGTCACGAATTTTCTGAAAAGACCTAAAGGTAAACATGTCACTAGCGTTAGACCAACAGTTCCATATTTTAATACGAATGCATGGTAATAACTTATGTCGCCACAAAAGTCATTTCAAAGGACTATACGATATATATAACATTCGAATACTGTCAGAAAGCATGGCAACACAATAAACTCTGGTATTGTCATCGGATGCCATCAAGCATTGGAGGGGCTTGAAACAACAAATAAGGTATTCCTCCAATGGATTAAAGGGCCTATACCTTTTGTCTATGCATTAGCGTGTAAATTAATAGTAATTTACACAGGAATGGATGCACGCATAATAGGAATGACGCCGCATATGAACTGGCAAGTTAGCCCTAGCAACTTTGGCAGCCGGCCCAATCATACTTCTGCCACTGCCTTTTAACCAACTTCGCTCCGGGGCTTGACCACGAAAAACTCACCGGGCTGCAGACAGTAAACTGGTGTTGATTGAAGTCTCACCACGAGTTACTTGCAGATTGATCAGTCTTAACATACTAGACATCCGAACCGACCGTTATTCCCCATTAATGTGGCAGTCAGTCCTCTTTGCAGAGAATGTCAGAAAGCATAAAAAACGGCAGCCCACTTAATCCTGGATCACGAGGGAGCGGCTTCTTCAGGTTATTTCTTAACGCTAAATATTAAAAATTCAATTATAATCCATTAGAATCTGACTTAAATCAAACATTTTTTTTTCATTCAGTAAGGTAGTTTGTAGTCGCTTCGACATATATATGTATATTTTTAAATATAAAAGTTTTGAGGTATATATATATATATATATATATATATATATATATATATATATATATATATATATATATATATATATATAAACTTAGTATATATATTTATATAGAGATAGTAATCAGAAAAAAGAAGTAAAATAAAACAAAAAAATAATAATTATACACTTTCGGTTTCACTTACTTCAGTGATCGGTGGAGTATTAAAACAGCTATTTTTACTGCACTGAAGACAAGCTACACTGCAGTATAAGCCTCTCTTCCGACACCCACAAACAGCTCCACAACCCTTTTTGCAGCTACAAAATGAGATTTTCAATGAACATGGAAAACATGGACGGAGATGGTCACTTTCCATCAGGTGACCCGTCTGCTTGCCTTCCCTCTCTATCATATTTATTTTATCTGGTGCTGGTAATTGATTCATTCATCACATCATCATCATCAACAGCCTTCAACAGTCCACTGTTGGACATAGGCCTCTCCTTAGAAAGGAGGTTTTGGTCTACTTGATTTATTGTTATTGGGAAAAGCATGTTACTCTTTTATATATTTAAACGGTGCATCAGCTACCGCTACCTCCTATGGGAGGTAACGATGACAAAATAACACTTGTTTTTTTTTGGCTGTTTCTTTTACAAAGTTATTTGAAATGTGTTAAAATCTTTATTTTTTTGTGGTGACAATCCGTATTCTTTTTTCGTCACCACATAGAAAGTTTCTCATCAAAAAAGTCTAAGCAACATGTCATTGTACGGTTTCAAACTTTTGGACGATTTTTACTACTGTAATATATTTCTATTTCTTTTATAACGAAATATAACTAGGCAATATTTGATGCACTTTTTTGTAATGGGTAAAAAATGTTAAACTCGCGTCAGGACACGTGACCTGTGCCCCGAGCACGAAAAAATGTCGAATGCGTATCGTAAACGTATCGAGTCTTCGATACGTTTACGGAGTTTTACGATAGGCGGTAGCACGAAGCACTAACGTTAAGGTATCGAGAGCTCGATACGATTACGTTAGTGACGTCATCCTAACGTAAATAAGGATGTGCACTTAAGAACGAATTCAACATCTTATTGAATGAACTATGCGTTCGAAAACATAATGAAATAGTGATATTTTTATTACTTTCGGTTAAACTACCTATTTATTGACAATTAAAACAAAATATACTTATAAAAACACATTATAAATCTTAAATGAGGTATGGGAGATTTTAAAATGTAGTATATTTTGGAGAATTAAAATAATTATTATGACATTTTTGTCGGTTTCTGAATAACACGTCTCCACTTGACAATTTACTGACATAGATACGACGCTATGTCTATAAATTGTTTATTATTTTTATTGTAAATTCATCTCCAAGTATAAGATTATTTGTAAACCTTGAAACTTTAAGAAGCATTTTATAGAAAATATTATTTGTATTATTACGTCGTGTTGGCTGTCGATTGTGACAAAAATCTAAGTTTCCAATAAATAAGTCCTATACCACTAGACCGTTGTCTTATGTGAAAAGAAACTGATAAAGATTTCTTTAAAATAAACCACAGTAAGTCGTGCCACAATAAATCGAACTGTTGAACAGCACAGACGAAGACGTGTTTCATCATCTTCTGCGCCAAAAATCCCAACATCAAAAAAGTCAGTGCCAACAAGCCATTTACAATACGTGGCTATGGTGTAATTTCTTGAAAGGTGAGTTTATTCAATTTACTATTTGCAATACTCAATGTACTGTAATGTAAAATAACGATGTGATGTTTGAGAATATGATAAATTTCATATTTATATGAATATGGATAACATCTGTCACTTTATAAATGAAAAATGAAATGAAAAGAAATTAAAAACACCACCACAGCAATCCTACAGATAAACATACCAGGGACAACTAATGTCTCATATCAGTCAATCTAGGTTTCGTAGTACAAGTTCTACTTAGTTTGAAACTATGTATATGGTGTTGTGTGTCAGATGTCTGAAAATATTATATTCGTTATTATATAAGTAATAAATGTTGTAATATTTTGTTGTAGATTGGAATACTGGGGGCTCAAGCAGCCAACCAACTGTGGCTCCTCCTTTACCAGCATCTGAGGTTCATTCTCAGTCTTCTCCAGTCACCGCAGTGGCAGAGGAGTGGAAGCCTCCAGAAAAAAAAAACTCATAAAAGCAATGATATTTTAACCGTTAATTGAATCGTAATCGTGTGAAATACAATTAAAATTATTGACCAGACATATTTTTTTTTTCAAAGTAAATAATGTTCTCTGTAAATAACATGTATGTATGTAATGTATAAAAACCAACTCTGTATGATTCATTTTAAAATTATGGTAAATAAAAAATATTCATACTAGCTCATTTTTTACTATATGCCTTTCATCCCTGTCTGCTGTGGAACCCCCTCTATCTAACCAAATTTGGTACGAGCCCAGCAATGCTGCTTTGGAAATTTGTTCAAGGAAAAAGCTTACTGAAGCAATCCAAGGTCTTTACATAGGGTATAGAGGGATTTAACTGGTATACCCCTCGCACCCACTTCCACGGCATACAACGCAACGAAATAACCATTTTTACATATACACATATTTATACATACATATTTTGAAATTCGTTGTCATTACCCGAACAAACAGACAGACAAAAAATATTTAGACTGGTTTTTAGGCAAGATATCTATTGCAAAAAACCGTGTGAGCATGAAAAAAACCTATTATTT